GTTCGTCGTCGTAACCGACTTGAGTGGGCAAATGCTCACATTCGATGGCGTCTGGCACTTTGGAGAGGTGTTCTGGGATGAATCCCGGTTTTCACTGTACAGGGCCGATGGCACAGCGTGTATGGCGTCGTGTGGGTGAGCGGTTTGCTGATGTCAACGTTGTGGATCGAGTGGGCCATGGTGGCGGTAGAAGTGCTCACTAACACAGATTTAGACAGATTTGTGAACAATATTTGAGAGAAATAGGCCTTTTGTGTACATAGAACAAGTCTTAGATCTTTGAGTTCAGCTCATGAAAAATGGGGGCAAAAACAAGTGTTGCGTTTATAATTTTGTTCAGTGTATGAACATTATTGTGGACAAAAACAAAAATCCTGTGCCTTTCTGCGGAAACCGTATCAATCAATAAGAAAATGATTTGTGCAATTTTTTTCAGGTCGCAATATTATTTATGAATAATAATAATAATATATATAGCTGCAAGCAGCGATTACCAGGGTTCAAGCGCTTTAGGTATTTAAGCACATAAGGAAAAAGACATTACATATTATTTAGCAAGCCTGTAACCACCTAAATCAATTATTAAAAATTCATTGTTGGCAAGATTTACCATAGAAATATGATGTTTTTATAACGTTTATGACTGTTATAGCGCCAGCTGTGGTCCGATCTTCCTGAAACTTTGCATGCTTGTTTAGAATCACCTGTCGCATGTGCTCAGTGGGGTTCGTGAAGTTTTGAGTTTTTGTTTAGGCTTTATAGGCTTTTGGGTATATTTGGACAGGCCCCTTTTCTCAAGGACCCCGTTATAGCTTCCCAAAGGGTAAATTTCAACATGTTTTTGATAATTATTGACCTGGAGAGTCCAGAGAATTGCACTGCGGTGGTTTTTTTCCAGACTGAGAGAAAAACCTAGGACTTGTTGGCAAAAGTGTTTTTCATATCTTCTCAATCATTTAAAAAACGGTTTGATTGACAGCAGTGGTTCTAGAGGCAAAGTTGTTCGGAACGAGGAAGTCTATCATGCGATACGAATATCGCATGTATGTGCGGAAAACCGCGCAATGTACAATAGTTTACAACCTCAAAAAATGCGATACCGCCCCCCCCAGTGGCTGATTTCTTTCAAATTTCTCACAGACCTTTGGGGCCGTGAGTCAAACAGGCCCACCGAGTTTCGTTACGATCAGCCTCCGTTAACTTTGTCTAATAGGTGCTCAAACTTCATCGGCCAATGGTGGCCATGTTTTTTTGAGATACACAAATGTCCCCATAGACACTTGTTGGACCAAGACTGTGCACAACGATTTTCATGTTGATAGGACAAATGGTTGCCTAGTTATAGCCATTTTTAGTTTTTTTTCCCTCTTATAGCGCCATCAAGTGGTCAATCTACACGATTTTTCCCCTGTGACCTCAGCTTGAGCTCTTACATAAGTGTTCCGAGTTTGGCGAAGTTATCTCATTCCGTTCAGGAGTTATAGGCATTTTACTAAAAGTGGCCCTGCCCCCTTCGAACGTTTTGGCGTCCCTTTGCCACGGTGAGTCGAAACTCGAAAGTTCAACTTTTTTTTTGATAATTATTGATATTCACTCTCCAGAGAATCTTTCTACACTGGATTGTTTCCGATCGGGCGAAAAACCTAGGACTAGTGCGCAAAAGCAGGTTTTGCAAAAAATGTGAAATCCCCAAAAAAAAAAACAAATCCGAGGCATGCGCTTTGTCCGGCATGAGCCAAGGATTCCAACGACATAAGACACTTTAGCCTGCGACTGACGGTTTAAGAGTTATAATCGATTTCGTACTTTCAATCGCTGTAGTGCCCCCGTCAGGCCGATTGGCGTGAGCCTTGGTCACGCTGTAGGCGGTGTGAGTACTACCATCCCTGCAAGTTTCAAATCTCTACGACTTACGGTTTGGTCTGCACGATCAGTTTTACGTGGAAATCGCTCATCCGTGACCATTCTAACAATTACAATAGGGTTTCAGTGCTATGCGCTTGAACCCCTAATAAAAAACTTTCTGCAATTAAATTCATGTTTATTTGTATTTTGCTTTTAACAATATAATTAGTTTCAATGCAACTTGACAATAAATGCATTTTTCAGTGTTACAGTTGGAAAGGATTCTGTTATTGGTCAGAGATGTGTATCAAAGTAATATGGATATAATATACAGCTATAAGCTAATATAAATTATGTGGTTAGTAAACATGTTAAGCAGACACAATTAACATGTTTGGCCATGATTGATCGTAATTATTACAATATAAGTATAATATGTAACAGTTTTGTATGTCAGTCCACATTTGCCATCATAAGTATTGAATTGTCATTTCTCCCTGGAATTATCGCTCATTGCAACAACCCATAACTTACAAATTTACCCAAATTTAGTCTCTTTGAAACGCTTTGACAATAAATGTCACATTAAAATAGTCATGGGGTCCAAGAAAACTTGCTACAGTGAATCAAAGTTATTTACCCCATCAAAGGCAACGCAAAGGGTGTCACCACACTGTTTTGCATGAGGTGTATAACGGATGATCTGTTTATGATCTATTTATTCATTCTGCCGGAGCAGTGGAGGAACATGAGGTGAGAGGCAGTTGAATGCTTTTGCTGGGGCCTCTTGCCAAACCAAACATATCCCCTTGGCATCCTTACATTAGTGTCAATGGCCTACATCCATAATGTGTTAGTGCAGCAGCTTTGGAAATGAGACCCCAGCTGAGGAGGAATGGCAAGCTTATTATGGGCTAAATTTGGCATAGAAATGCACTCCTTGCAGGCTGAAATGATTCTAATTGTAACCACATATGATTTACTGAATGTCAGTTATTTTAGAGACATTATTTAGCACTGTGGTTGAATACTGCATCATTGCTGGAGGTCATGAACACAATGAATAGCCTATAATGATCAGATAATAAATATAAATTTACAAGTACTGTAAAACAAGATTGCATGTTTCCAGAAAAATGACACGGAAGTGGCATAGGGAAAAATATTGTTGTAACTGTGCACGAGGATAGTAGAAAAATAACGGAGGACTCCATTGGGAATTGATTGGATTGTGAAAAATGGGCATTCAATACTATAAGGCAGACAGGTGGTTGAAAAATAATAGTAATTTTTGACATCAGTCGATAAGAAACATGATGCCAGAACAAGTTATTACCTTTTGATGAAAGACTGATGAAATATGCACAGTAACACCTGTTGACCTAAAGGTGATAACCTTGCTTGACAAATGGTGATGAACATTGTCTTGGCAAACAGTATGTTGCATCTGTTTAACCAATTATATCCCTTCATGACCACCTCAACAGTTTTGCAACATGAATTGTACAATTGAGGTACAGTTAGCATGAGGATAAAGTTCGATGAAACGTTGCATCACATTGTTGATT